TTGAAAACTGTTTTGAGCAGACTCCCTGAATAAATAGAAGTCACAAGTGGAACTTTTCATTTTAAGCCTCATAAAGATAACAAACAGTCGCTGTGTTTGGAACCGGAAACTGAAGGCATCAGGTATAGATCGCAGTGAAAGTTACAAGGCAAAGAAAACAAATACAACAAAACAAACTGAGCGTTTGCCAACAGAACTGCATCAAGGATGTTAAAAGTGCAGATGGGAAGACTCATTTTACTCTGACTTTTCACACCTAGCTTTTTTGGGAGAACAAAATTTTTGATGATAAGTACAGAACGCTAGCTTACTAAAGGTCTGAGAGAAAGTGAAGGTTTCTCTTTCTAGTTATCATGTCATCAAATTAAGATATGATACCTTTTAACCACTGGAGTAATGTGACCCATTACTGCCTCAAATGCTGAAAAAACATGGACTGTATTACATGACAATAATTTTTCTTGTTTAAATAGCCCCTTGTGTGTGCTCAGAGCCAGATATTTTTGTCTCAGTATGTGACTTAGTCCCACTACTGGTTTGGAGAGATTCTACCTTTTGTTTGATTTGCTTCTGGTGAAATACACTGTGAGGAATGGTTCTGCTTGCCTTCAGAATAGTTGTAGCCAGAAGTAAAATCAGGGAAAAGAAAGAAAAACAGTACTGAAACTGTATTGCCATACTATTTAGTTCATCCCCTCCTCCTCCAAAGCAGGATCAATGGTACCTTAAACCATCCCTGACAGGGGGGAACTTATCTTTCCCAGTGGTTCTTCCAACACCAAACAAAAGGATTCTGGTTTTGCCTAGAGTAATGCAATATCCTTTCTGCTTTGCCAAGCCCCATAGCAGCAGGACTTTGGCTTTATCTTCCTTGAAAAATGGAGTTGTCAGCAGAGGATGATTGTTTATGATGGGTTGTATAGGTAGTAACACCAGATAGCTTCCAGGCAAGCATACTGCTTGAACTATATGAACATCAATAAGACATAGCAAAAATGAAAAGTATGCCTGGAAGTTTCCTTTTAGTGCCAGAGTGTGACAAAACCTTTCCAAAGTTGTGCCTGTTGTTATTAGGAAACCAAGTTGCTCCTTTCCACTGCAGGCTGCCAGAAGCTGTTCCTGCGTTAATGAGTTCAGATCTTTCTATAGTCCAAAAGAAAGAGGCATCCTATCTGTTTACGTAACAATGATTTGTAGGTTTGTGCTCTAACAAGACCACTCAGTGATGGATGCCAGTACGTCGATCTTATGTAGCCAATGGGACAGCAAAGACATCAAGTGCATACGAATGGTAACTATACCTTTGAGTATAATCTTGGAACAGGGCAGGTTTTTTCACTCTTTTGCCCAGGAATAGCCGAAGACCTCTAGGGAACATAGCATACATTTCTATACACAGCTGTACTACCATTTCATCGTTTACCTGTGATTTAGAGATGCATTCACCCCCAGCCCTTTAAGTAGCCACAGGTACAACTAGATCGCTTTTAAAACCCAACTCAAGTATTGCAGATTTTGACTAGGTAGTAGTGCTGGACACTTCTCTACTTTGATGTTCATGTAATCCTTTTATTTTATTTTGGGATTGAGTCCCTGCCAAGTGCCATAATTTCTGAACCAGAAGAAAAGATATCTTCAGGTTAAAATGTCACTGTGCCCATCAATCACACTTCAGTGAATAGCTGTAGTTCACAAGTTATTCAGCAGTGCAATGAATAATTCCAGTCTAGAACTTTTCTGCAAGTTCCTTACATTAATATGTCTGAGACTAACCAAGACTGGAAGGGTGAATTTCTACTCTCTTTAAAAGGCTTTATTTTCATGAATATACAGGAATTAAGAACAAAAACTGGATAATAAAATGGTGGGTCTGGTGTCAGAGCCACAGCATACAATCAACTTTTATTGGTAACACTGGGAGCTTCCTGTTGGCAGCCGCATATCCTCATCCAGCGTGATACAGCAGCATATTCGGGCTGACAGCAAAGCATGTAGAATACAAAACTGGGGAGCACTTTTTAATAGCTGATGGTACCCAAAGGGCTACTTTGTTTTGTATGTGCTTAGGCAAGTATCTCTTAAAGGACGGAAAGCATTTGGGTTCATTGGATATAGAGTATACAGGGTATGGAGCACAGTAGTGCTCTGGTCCATGACTCAGATGATGCTTCAGCGTTGTGTTCTGTATTGCCTTGAGCTCTATCTTCAGAGAGATTACCTTTCTTTTTTATTATATCAAACCCGAATGCATTCCCCTTCATTTTTCTTCCCCTTCTCTCTAAAACTATTATGATATAAATGTGGATTTTGTAGTATAACCAGTTACAGGATTTTACAACTGTAATTTGGGCAGGTTATAGAAATAATGCTGTTTGAATCTTTCACAACAGACTTCTTATATCTCAAATTTTGATGTAGATGTTTGAATCAAACAGATATTAACAAATGAAAAGACAAAAGTAAAACCAGACTGAGTAAAAGATTTTTTTCCTGTAGCTTATATGGAATAATTTTTTTATAATTATGATGTTAATGCCCACCAGCTTTAACCACTAAACACAAAAAAACCAGAAGATCCAGGTCTGATGGCTTATATAGTAAGACATAAGCACAGTTCTCCTTTACAAATGTATATTGCTATTGGTTTAAAAGATTTTCCCATTCGCATTTCTTTATGATGTAAGAGAATAAAAAGACTATAACCAAATATACTTACCATTTTTGGTTCATATTTAAGGTTAATATTTAGTCCTTGCAGAAAAAAATATGCTTCATAAACGTGTTCATTATCCTCATTTGCCCACACCAATCAAGTTTAATTGCGCAGTTAAATTGCCTGGTTACCTCAATTTGGAGACATTCAGCTGTTCGTATCATTTATCCTCACACCAATATTCAACTTTCTCTAATAATAAATTGCTGTTCTTCCATGCCTCTTGGCTAATTGTTCAATTACAAGGGTGTGAGCAGTTCTGGCATTTGAAAGACGTGTGAAAGGCTACTTGTGAACAGCCCAGGGACACAGAATCAATGACATTTATACATTATGTGTCATTTCTGTGCTTTGTAATAGTAAGTGTATTGAAGTACCAATAGGCAGATAGACGACTTTTAAAAATAACATTCACCTTTTTTTCTCTCTCAGTGACTCTAGTTCAAACTTTCTTGGTTTTCTTGTCCAACTAGACCATTTTTTAACTGTCTCTTAGGAAGCTCATCCTGCAGGAATATTCGCTTCCCTCTGAAGCCAATAGCTTCTACTCTGCAGTGGAGAGAATGGGGGACTTGGGCCTGAGCAGGTTTAATGTCAAAAGTCACAGCGAAAATGACAGGCAGTAGGACTCGTCTCAGCACCACATGCTTTATCTTTGGTGAAAGAA